ATCTGACTGATGGTCTTTGATGATGTCTTCAGCAAGTAGTGCAGAGTCAATAGCTACCCCCATTGGAGAGGGTTTTCCTTTCGAGACAGTTTGGCCTTTCAATAGACGGAATATTCTAGCTGGGACGTTGCACATTCCAAGGGTTGTGCAGTATTTATCCCACTGCTCTTTGTCGAAGGCAGCCCTACCTTCTAGCATGCTTTCCTCGGATACTGGGACATTAAATAAAATAAGCGAGTTTAGTCTGTCGTCCCTGTCCTTGGGGTTGCTATTCCCTTTCTTCACGTTCACCCACTGTTCTGTATTGCTAACAGATACTGGGTGGTTAACAACGACCGGCAGTTTTGTGGGTGTGTTAGGCAGGGTTGTGGCAGCCTTGATCACTTGTTTTACTGGCTTAGTGCCAGGCAATTTTTGTTTGGTCGTTAGGGCTTTGGAGCTGATTTTGGGTGGGACCTGTGGCTTTGCTAATGCCTCAAAGACTGTACACAGGGGGCAACTACACTAGAACCACGAGCAGGGGTTACTCAGCATGAACCCGTATTACTCTTTAGGTACTGTAGTGTCGTAGTGACAATGTACCCATGTCCTATAGAAGTTGCATTCAAAACCACAGTCACTTATTTTGACGAGTAATGAGCAGGCGAAACAGTCATGCTTTTGAGGTTTCTGGACGTTAGACTGTGTCCACTGAGCCTTGGAACTCCTTTTTCTCCGATTCTTAACTAGCTTACTGGTCCTTTTAGGAATAGGATGAGTACTGTCTTGCTAATTCTGAGGTGTTTGCGTTGAGTTATCCAAAGTATTGACACTAAGACGGATCCTATCGACTGACAGTTTGTTTTTTAACAGCCGGTTCGCACGAGATTTGGATTTTTGACTCACTATTAACCCCGGGGTTTATGCCTCTACAGGTTTTCCTGGTTTTTATCGTGTAAGATGTGCTAGCGTCATCAACCTTTTTTGAACTCTCCGTTACGTAGACTTCATCATGCACTTAATTAGTCGTCTGCGCTAACACCTGGAGTCATATCGCGGGCCTCCTAGTATAATACAATGTAACGCATCCAAAACCTTACTCTATCAACTCCTAGTTTTGTTTATCAGATTGTCTTGATCTCACGCTTCTTTTATTGCTGGTTGCTGTCTATTTATTTCTATATTGCATGTAAGTGCATTCTATGTGCTTACTGGGTAGTCAGCTCATCTCCTTCTCTTGTCCCTTCTTCTTCCTTCTTCTCACACACCTCCTACTGCACAAGGTACCTCCTAGCTAAACGCAATCTAACCAAAGGCTGGAGTTTTAACCAAACAAAAGGAAACGGTTCACGTGAATCTTATTATAATAAACCTTTATCAAATGTGTTCAGAGTATTACTTTTATTCTCCTGCTGTCTCAACAATAGTTCTCAGCTTCCTAATAATTATGAATCGTTTCCAATTTGTTCCAAGGTTTTTATGTAACTACGCAAATAATTAAGATCCCACTAAAACTTATAGAATACAGATTGTTATGACTTATCCATTTATCTTGAAACTCCTAAGAACTTTTCTCTAAGTTTAGTTTTTTCAACATGTCACGCTTTGAAATTACAGGCTAGATTGTCACACTACACAAGAGTACAGCCCTGTATCTAGAAAACTAACTGCACTTATAGCGAGCAGTTGCAAGATATAGCCTAAAGGAAATACTTTTGTTCTTGTTTCAGTTTGTTTACTTAAAACGTTAACCACAGTTCACACTGCAGCTTACAAACTGAAAAGAAAACGTGAAATTATAGGAGATAATTTAATAAAGAATTATTTTCAAAGCTTGAAGTTAGTTAAAAGACAAACAGCTTACTTAAAAGCGCCGATAAACGTAAACAGGTGGAAGGTCCAGCAGTGATGGCGGAAAAGGCTACAAGAGAAAGAAACATGAAACAATTGTATGGTACAACGAAGAAGATCGCTAGACATTATCGTTAGCCTTAACAACCAGTGAAAAGCAAGGTAGCCAGAGTAATAATCAACATTGAATAACAGCGAAAAAGGTGAGTAGAGCACTTTAGAGACTTATGAATCGACCAACCGAAACGAACCAACCCAATCAGTTGGATGGGATTAACCAATCTACATCAAATCCGCTGACTACGAGTAAACATTCGACAGTGTGTACAGGACCAAAATATGAGGGCTTTTTCAACACTTCAGAGTGCCTGAGAAGATAGTCAACATCATACGGATTCTCAGATACAGCACAACATGCGCCAACCAAATCACTCTTGACGGAAATGACTTGGAGGACGTTAGGACCTTTACATATATGGAAAGCATCATTGACAAGCAAGATGGATCTGATGCAGATGTAAAGGCGTGAATCGACAAAGCAAGGACTGCATTTCAATAAGTGAACAGCATCTGGAACCCAAATAACTATCATCCAACATCAAAGTCACAATTTTCAATACAAATGTGAAGACAGTTCTACTGTAGGGAGCGGAAACGTGGGAAACCAACAAAGCCATCATCCAGAAGATAAGGTATTTACCAACAGTTGTCTATGCAAAATACTTCGGATCTGTTGACCAGACACCGTCATCAACAATCTAAGGTGGGAGAGATTGCAGTGGTGCAGGAAATCAGGATGAAGTGGTGGAGTTGGATCGGACATATAGTGAGGATAGCACCCTCATTTGAAATCCACCGGGTCAAAGGAAAGGAGGAAGATAAAGGAACACAATACGCCGAGAAATAGAGACAGACATGAGAAGAATGAAAAAATCTGACCGAACTGGAAAGGGAACCTTTAGACTGAGTAGGTTGAAGAAGACCGGTTGGCGGCATATGATCCACCGCGAGTAGCAGGCCTCACTTAGCAAACATTTTACTTCAAAGGGAGTTGAATATGACCATACAATGGTGAAACTCATATCACTCATAACAGTATCTTACTATTTCCTCATGTTCGATACTTTAGGAATTAAGTGCAGATTTCTTTACTATAGAATAGAGTATCAGTGAAACAACTCATCCGTTTTAGGTTGGCTGTTAACATTTTGTACTCTAAAGATACAAATAATATTTGGAAAGTAAAGTGCTTTGAATAATGGGTCAGCTTTGTTTTTTAAGTGGTCTGGTCAAAGGAAACTACGAGGGAAAATGGGGACCGTTATATAATATATAAAGCAAAATGGACTGTAGAATATTAACAGAAGTTTCAGCGGAAAATTTTTAGGTTTCGTGCTGTATCTGAGTTTCTTTGCATTCCTTTTGATTTTAACGCAATGACCTACCGACAACACTTTCATAAGAATATTGCGTTAGGGTACAAACCCTAATTTTTGGATGAAAAAGAACAAGTTCCAAATTTTGTGATGATGAATTACAAAAAGTACTAATATTAACATTCTCTGACAGCACATTTACACCATCTCACTGACAGAAAATGTATGATACAGCCACATTTTCAATAGGAGAGTACAAATAGTGGAAGTCACAGTAGGATTCTTGGGTGGTTTGCTTATATCAATAGTGTATTTGTTGGGAAAAGTCAGTTGGGACGTGCTTGATACAAGCTGTGTTCCAGACATGCATGTACATAAGGTGCATGTTCCCTAGAGGCGCCATGGATTTTCCACTATGAATAGGGTTCTGAAAAGGGAGAAGAGAGAGAGAGAGAATAAAAGGCAGCAGCGTGGCAAGTGTATATTTATAAACAAAGCACTACTTAACCTGTCATGCTGAAGTAGTCAATGCAGTGGCGTGCCAAGATAAAATTCATACTGATCACTAAAACTAAGGTAAGTTATAGGAATATAGGAATATAACCCACAAATGAAGGAGTACAGCAATGAGGAAGTGCGGTGCGCGCTACTTATAAGTAGTAAATGAAGCGAGTAAAAACGTAATGTATGGCAGCAGAAGATGGGGGAAGATCAAGAAAGGAAGAGCGGGAACACAATGAGATTTGTATGAAACGCATGAACAGTAAAATGTCAGACAATGGATTGATGATGGAATGATCTTTTGCAAAATAACCGTTTACGATATGGTTTTCCTATTTTACTGAGTAACTCTGTAATTTTAGATAAATACAATTCGGTTGCCCTCAGCTGTGTTCTCCTTCAATACATTTAGTGTCGCTACCTACACAAAGGATGAAGATTCCATGGTCGGAGGAGTTTGAGGCCGTGGCGGAGCTGGTGGGTGTGAAGGAGCCGAAGGCGATGTTGTTGGTGCTGGGGACGCTGCTGAGAGGTAGGGCAAAGGCCGTATCTGACAGCTTGGACGGTGCTGGCGGGAAGACGACATGGGAGACGGTCACGGAGTGGTTGATGACGGAGTTCGACAGCCCAGTGGACAGGGAGGAAGTGCTGCAGAAGTTCCGGTTGGCGAGGTTGCCGGCCGATGGTGACCAACTGGTGCTGGATGTGGAGCTTGACAGATTGTTGCGCCGTGCGCTGCCGAATATTGATGAGGAGTCGGAGGCACAGTTGTTGGGGTCGCAGTTTATCGAGAGTGTGCCTGCCGCCGTGTCCCAGCAGCTGAGACTAGTAAACGCAGCACCATCTATGGACATCGGTGAACTGGTTAAGGTGACTCATCAGCTGATGACGCGAACAGTAACTCCGGTCGGGTGCAGAAAACAGGAGATAAATACTGTTGAGAAGAAGATTGAGGAATTAAGACGTAAGATTGAAGCATTACGAGTGGATCATAAAGTAACGATAAATGTTACTCCCCTGAAACAAACGTTTTCATTCAAATCCCAAGGCATACAATCTCACAACCAACTGACAACTGACTAGAATTAGACAGCCGAGCAGCTAGACCCCCATTCATTAGACACTACCAAATACCTGGAACCGTATCGAAAGAACAGCAGTAAAGCGTAAAAAAATCAACTGGTTAGTACTGGCTCGTGAAAAAGATATTGGATATATTGAATTGTTTGTCCGTGCTATTTCGGTTACTTTACGCTCGGAGGCAGTGATTTGGTTTCTTTGTAAGTCCAGGTCCGCGGATTTCGTGTACTTACTACTCGCAAGTCGTCACAGATAATGTAATTAAAAGTTCTGTATCTCAAAATTTTAACTGTGTTATCTTTTTATTAGTTCAACTAGACCATTCACTCCATTATTAGTTATTTATTTAAGCGTCAACCTTTACCCTAACTACAAAGTCATACGTTAATTCTGAATTGAATTGAAAGGTAATGGGAATAGGTAGATTTAAAATTTCCAGAAACTGTTTAGTATGTTGGCTGCATAAAAACACAATACAGATGACCAGCACAGAGCACTTGGATGTTAAACATGAAATATTTGTATGAATAGAGTACACCACCATTTGCTCCAAGTCGAGTAAAACGGCAATGACTTCAAATTCAACCATATACTCTGTGATCTATAAGTCTTCCATAAGATTAAATTCTGCTTTTTCTACGATCTCTAAGCTAATGGGTTATCATAAAATGATGACGAGGTTACGTAGTAGCATTCATGATAACGGAGTTAAATTACTCTGCTAGTTAAGGAAATATATACCATTCTGTGTGGCATGGTAAAGAGACAGTTCCACATCCTTCTTATCCCCCATTAAAGGAAGTTTCGCGTGCTGACCCCTCTGTAACAGACTCCGGAGTCCTCATGTTACGGGATCAGTTGTTGAAGAATGGCAAGAATTAAAGAACCTAAAATATAATATCACCCCAGCTTGCACAGTGACAAGGATATTGTCACTGTAAAGAATGTTCCACTGTATATTGCTCATAAAGGTAAGAGGATTATTAATAGGTACAGGAAGGATTTGATTTTGACTTATTTGGTCTCGTGTACTGTTGTGAGTATGAGGGGGAATGTCACTTTCCGGCCACCTACACCGTAGAGCGGTGTTTTTTGACAAACCTGATAAGGAAGTTGGATAAGTGTTGGTCCTAGCGACTTGTGAGCGTGATCGCAGAGCCCAGGGGACAACTGCTTGAGGCCGATCACTCATGGTATTTTTATGAGTTTTTAAAGTGTTAGCTCCTCTCTTCAAACAGCCCTACCTCTGGAGACGGAAATCCTTGAGTTGTGACATTTTTGGGTCAACTTCGATCCCCTTCCTTCCTCGTGAAAAGACAGCGTCGCTGCAGATACTGTTTGTCTGAGGAAAACACCTTACACCTCTACGGTCATCATTACGACTTCGTCCTCAAACCTTCAGTTACTGCTTTTAGTCTTACCGTTCTCCAATCGATCTACCGGGCATGGTAGGACCTACAGGAACATATGTTCCGGCTAATGTTGCTTGGTTGGGTCTTCACGGTAGGCAAGCCCGCCACCATATCAAGGTAGCAGACGCGGTTGGGAGATTGTCTATAGCTGTCTAGTTGTACTTAGATAGATGACTAAGTAGTTATGGAGTTTAAGCAATCGTTTTTATTATGGATTGTGATTTTCTTATTTGTAATGAATATTATTAGAATATTTGGTACAGTGCTGATAAACAATCGCAAAACATCCCCAAGTGATAACTGCTCATTGTACAGAACTATTGGCTTAAGTCCTCAATAAACTGACACCAGAAAACAAGACAAGTAGCTAACATAATAGGTTTATTCCGATGGAATAGCGCGTTCATATACAGAATATTGACCGAAAAATAAGCATGATTACTTATCACAACCGGTTAAAGAATGTAAACTTTGCTATTCGCTCCCTCTGTAGTAAATTAGGACGTAAATGCTAGAACTAAATTTTGTCTCATCCTATCTAGTCATAACAAACCTATTGATGATGTAGTCACTTAACGCATTTGTCAGTTATTCTGTCTTACTATTGTGCTCTCGCTTTCTATCCGCTGGTTGATGATTCTACTCTTTTTTCGATTTCATTGACATGAAAAAACTACGTCCCCCTCGGTAGTTTGATCCAAACTTCTTCCAATGAATGACCAAAATTATCAACGATAAGCACTGTTAAGAATAATCCTATACTAAACAATCGTTCTTTCACGTTACTTCCCCATTTTTGAATCTGTATGATAAACGCTGTAATTACTCCTTGCAATGATATGACAGGAAAACCACGAGTTCAGATAAATATGACATGGTTGCTACTCCTAATTTAATCCTGATGAGAATCAAGGGCTATAAGCCAAGGAGGAGAAGCATTTAATAGTGTCTATGAAATTGAAATTACTGGATGTAACTACGCTTATGTACTGGAAACGTTAAGACACCTCAATATAAATAATGCTCTGTTCAAATACTCAAAAGATTGGAATATAAATTAATGGTTGAACTACTATTCATCAAAATAGTCAAAAAAAAACGAAAATATTTTGCAATGAAGAAATTGCCAATAAAACTTTACATGTGTAGGCAAATCCAACTTGAAAAGATAAAGTATAGTTAGCTATTTCTTCACTGTTATTAACTACTATAAGTTTTGCATCAACTCTTCGTATTTATTTCATACTTGCAACACATGGTCTGGTAAATGTTGATTGCAGTTTACTCTATTGATAATGTGAGACCTTTATTTACAATGATCATTTTAGTTACTTAGTTTATTATCCACATTGTTTTTTTTTCATTGATACTGAATTATTTAAACCATAAGTTAACTACCAAAAAATAATGTTAACTACAGATTTTTATCGAGTAGTAAATACAAGTGCAAATTTATAATGCTCCGTAGGAATAAGCTTCCAAATCCTTGACGTTGGGACTATTATCTTCTCATTAAAAGAAAACGAATTCTCGTATAATAATAATACACAAATTGATTGTATTACGAAGAAATAGAAACGGAGAAGGTAGTACAATGAACAAATAAATTGTTTAGGGTTACAGTTACTATGAACGAACCAAAACTGTGAAATTGCATTTCAGTAAAAAAATTGACACTAATATATTTGTAACTCAAATCTATGTATTTGGTGATTATAGTTCGTTCAATATTAAACATATTTAAAACTGTTATTCGCACTGTTTTATGCCGTGTGTTCATTACTAGTAAATAGCTTTAATGTTCAGGGAGGCTAAGATTTTCGGAAGGACGTTTTAGAGGTATTTGCAGCAAGTGAGAAACTACCTTGCAGATCTTTGTGTTTTGATGTATACCGTGTTCTTTGTTCTGAACTTTTAACCATTGAATAAACCTACTTCGATTTAAGTTGTCGATTAGTATCGTTATTCGCCATATGTGAATTAAAGCACAACAGGATAAACGGAACTTCATGTATTAACTGAGTTAAAAAAAATGTAGCTACTATAACCATCCATTCTTAATGTTCAAAACATATAATTTATTTCATAATTCATATTTTTTTATTGATCTAAACATTATTTGCATACTTACATTTGACCTTTATTTATCTCAATAGGTTTTATTTAAACATTCTGAGCAGTTCAGAAAATGAATAACTTATTCGTTTTACTTCTGTCTGGTTGGATATAAATTATTATTATTCAATATATTAGCTAACCATTCACATGCCTACTCCACATATGTCAAGGGCAACATCAGGACCATCTCCTGGATATACCGCAGGTGATGAAATTTGTGATGTATCTTGTCCGATTGACTGGGATACAAATGTAGTGAATTTTATTTCAACTTGCTTGCATCCTGGTCTAGTCCGACGAACTTCATCGAGTACTACGTATGGTCTCGATAAACCAAATCACTTTAGACGTCAGCACCGTCGAAATCTGTCTACAGCTACAACCGTTGGATTTGGTCGTTATCCTGATCATCAAATCGCTAGTCGAATTCCATATTCCAATGCTCTCAATCATCCAAATGATCATCAAGCCTCTCCATCATATTATTCTAAACGTATTTTGGGCCATGCACGCAATATCAGTGATCCTACGTCTGGTTGGGATTTCCGTATTGTCACAAAACCTCTTATTCTTGACCAGTTAACTGAAAGACCATCTTATAATTGGGATGATTCTGTCGAACAAAACCTAGTTGTGTCAGGTGAACATAAAATTCCAGCTACTTCACTCATTCCTGAAACTAAACCCGAAGCTTATCCCTGTTTAACACCTCCGCGTTTATCTGATGATGCTACATTGGAAAAATCGTTTGTATGTACTCGTGATACAGAAACTCACATGACAACAATTGTAAAGAATGATGACACGGCTTGTTTATGCCCTTGTCTACAAACATGTGCTAGTCCGCGTGTTGTGTTAGTCGGATTATGTCTAACTATGTTTATGCAAACTATGGTTGTATCTGGTTTAATGAGTAGTATGTTCACTACACTGGAAAGAAGATTTAATTTAACTAGCCGACAAATTGGCTATATGATTAGCGTTTATGAAGTAGCCGGCGTCATAACCACAGTGATTGTTAGCTTTATTAGTGGGCAAAAGCATAATCGATTACGTTTCATTGGTTTGGCGACATTGATCTTGGCTCTTGGGTTCGGATTATTTACATTGCCTCACTTTTTAGCCGGTCCCTATAGACCAAATCTACTGACTACTGGTGATAATAATACTGCTATTAGTATTAGTACTGACGATATGCTCATGCATTCCTCTCTGTCATCTGCCTTTCCTATCGATCAAGATTCAGAAAATTCGATTCAGTTGGATGGACCACTGTGTATTGATCAGTCTCGACATACGGTTGCACAAAATGTTGTTATCACTCCATTTAATAATCAAATTAATGTTAGTGATCCAATTATTCGTGCTGCTTCACTTACTACCACCGATAAATTTAATAATAATAATAATAATAATAATAATGAATCATTGAGTACAGGATTTATAGACAGTAATGCTATTGTCCAATCTGTTCTCTTTCCAACTTTTTGTATTGCAATGCTGTTAGCCGGAATCGGGGCTAGTCCTTTGTATGTTTTAGCTCCAACTTATTTATGGGATAATTTAACAGATCGCCAGTATCCAATATATGCAGGTATATAGTGCTTTTTTTTCTTTTTATTTTGGATCTACATATTTAAATGGAACAATTGTATGATCCATTTTTTTATGTAAATTAGAATTTCACTCAGTCTGCTTCATATTTAATTAGTTGAGTTATCATTGATAAATATTTCATACAACTACTGAGTTCATAGGTTCATATTTCATTTTGCACATTATGGTTCAGGAAATGGATATAATCGCTAGTATGTCACACGGAAGATGTGACGTAAAACTAAATTCACGAGTATGTCCGTAATTGCCGAGTTACATTTTTCTTCCGACATTTCACGAGCATGAAATCTGCTCATTTCATTATAACCGGTATTATATGATTTCACATCTTGACGGTTCTTCAAGTTAGGTGTCTACTCATAGGAGAACTATCCACCAATCACACTAAAGGATAAATATCTTTCCACTATGAATTGATCAAAATTAAAGTTGTCACTCTCTGGAATAGAGTCCAGTATTTGAGAAAGTAAAGCTGATTTTTACCTAAAGTTCGAAATTTCTAACTTTCATAAAATTTGGTGTTGCAAGATTAGCCTACAAAGAGAAATTGGCCCTCTACTTTATAATGACCTACAGTTCTCTATATTATATCAAAATATGATTCAACATTTTCATATTTGAAATATATATATATATGCTTCTGTGTATGTATATGTAATTAAAAAGTACGTTGTACTATGTTGTTACAAATGTATATGTTATACATATTTCACCTCAGCCTGTTTTTTTTTTTAAAAATGTATGCGAGCATGTTATATTCACACTGTTTTGTACACATACCAGTAAAATATGTCAACCTCAATCATATTTAATCATTATTATCATACTATTTTCGATAAACACGTAATCGTTGTTGTCATCGTTCTACCACTACTACTAATGTTACCTTATAAAAAAAATATTTAGTTACCTTTTCAATAGTAATCATAATAAGTAGAAACTTTAACGTCACATTAAACAATCTTTTTTCAATCCTCTCTCTCGTTTCCAGTTGACATCAGCTCATGTTAGGGATTTATGCGTACAAGAATTCAATGCTACTTTTTTTTTTTATCTCTCCTGAATTCTATAAGCTTAATGCATTTTTAGTTTTTACTTAATAACATTCAATTAGAAATACAATTTTTAAAAAATGATGCGATCATTATGATCATTAATCATAGATCATTTCAACAACCTTAATACACATTACACACTTATGATGGTCTTTTCTTTTTAAAATTGACAATAATCATTACTATTCATGTATTGACAATGATTTCATATCATTGAGATACATCATATGATTTGTCAACAATTTCTTTTCTCATGGCTCTTGTCACGCTCATGTCATGTATATATAATTAAGCTGAGTGAAGGTGTGTGTACTCATTTATTTTAAAAAAAAATTATACCTCTATATTGCTTACAGGGTTAAATAATGAAATGAGGTTGTATGTAATAAGGTTTAGAACCCTTTTCTCTTATTTGTCGAAGAAACTTATCTCACTGACGATAATAGAAATTCTTCATGTGGTTTGCTTTGATTCATAACTTATGTGTTAGAGGGTGCTTTTTTTAATGATACTAGTCGAGGTTGATCAAACTAAATTTGTTGGAACTATGCAGTTCATGTTTGAGGTTAAATAGTTGAAAGCTTGTTTTGGTCACCTAACCCCACCGCTTATCTATGAAACATCCGTATCAAATTTATTCATTATTTCCAGAGTTATTTGAAAAAACGAGTTAACCACTTGTTTTATATTCAACTGTATTAAATAGAATTTAATTAAAGTAAATTGTATTCGTTGAGTAGTTACTTAAAAAAACAAGAAAATCCTATAAATAGGTTGTGCTTAAGTTTCGTTTACAATGACAAATAATCAGTTCGTCGATGTGCACTTCTGAGAAGTAGTTCCATGCCAAAACAAAACGGTCATCCAGTTCTTCCTGATCTTCACTGGTAGTCTGACATTACTCAGTTCTTTTTTCAATTAGAATTATGGAGATAAGTGTTTTTTGCATAGCCCTATCGGGTGTAGGCACTAACTACCAAAGACAAATGGGTGAGGTCACGCAAAATCCTTAGATTGATCAGAGTTAGACATTAACACCTTTGGATGCTGGCCCACTGGTCCAGAGGTTAGGCGTTCGCGCTCAAGACCGAAGGTCCTGGATTCGAATCCTACGAGGTGCAGAAGTCATGGATGCACATTGCTGATGAGTCCCAAAGTGGGACGAAACTGCAGTCCAGTACTTGCAGGTTTCTAATGTTGGCCTAACAATGATTAATTGATGACTAATCAGTTCATTTTTTGCAATCAAAATGGTTATAAATTAAGTGAACATTTTACTAAATTTATCAGCAATTGAAACATTCAGTCGGTTGATTTAAATTATTATACAATTCAAGTTTCTTTTTATATACTATTTTGTTTATTTAAATAGCTTTCAATATGATTGGATATTTTAGTGAATTTTAATTCGGTGACTGCATTCTACTGTCACCATCTAACATTAATTTCCTGCTAACTAATTTTTTTCTTCAGAAGTAATTCAACCGACGCAAGTTTTTCACAATTCAATATTTATCATTTTAGTTAGCGTATGAAGTTTGTAGTGTTATAACAGTTAAATCATTAAGATAGCTCTATCTGAAGTCCTACATTGTGTGTTGTATATCAGATGAATATTTCATGTAAGTTGTTGATGTGCGATAATAAAAAAACTAGATAGAAATACCAAACAAGTAATAGTATGAATAAGTAGAAAATCACTTGTTTTAGGGTGTAAACTAAACACGTAAAAACAAGTTTTCAAGAGTTTAGAATTGTGTGGTTTTAATTATGCTTAAAGTATAGAAAAGATTGATTTCTCTGCTCTGGCATGACCAATTTCTGACCATGATTTTGGCCACGTGGCAGTCCCACAAGTATGTACTCACAATTTTGTGATTTCCGTCTAAATTGTATAAAAAGAACTCGGAACGACAGGGACCCACACTGTCACTCTTCGTCATTTTTTCCTATGTCCCCACTGACTACAGCTCGGATAGAACAAAATATAAGCTTTACAGGAAGCTTTCCTACTATCAGAAACTCAAGCACTCACATCAGTAGACTAAATCAAACTGAAAAACACTTAAGTGGATCCTTTAGCGCTCCAGCGTAACAAACCGATCACGCTGATGGTCTCTTGCAGTTGTTTTCAATCAACCGATTACTTGTAGCAAGTACAAACTTTAAACATAAGGACAGATATTGTTTCATTCAATGACGCCTCACATCAATACTATATGTAGATACAGACTATTTGCTTAGAGAATTCAAGTGATATGATTGAGAATCAGTCATCTTTTAACGTAGGTGGATTCATCTGTTTTCTCGCCCTAAGTCTTGAGCAACAATACACTCCTTATAAGTATCGCTGATTTCTTTCTTTTCAAACCATATTCACAATGTTTAGTCTTTATCTACCACAACTATTTTAATGGTTCTGTTATTCGTCTTCCTCATTTCTGCTGGTTGTGATGACTTGAGTTAATGCATACTTATTAACAAGACTGTCGATTAATTATGACCGACTGATCGGTTTTGCTAACTAACTACTTCATGTTTTAGAAAACTTACAATTCAACTAATTGTGATTTTTTTTCATTTGATCATGTTCAATACTATTGATCACATTGACTTGTTATTTTCGCATGTTTTTCAATTGAAACACATTCATTCTCTTGAGAATTTTTTATTCATGAATAAATGTGGTGGTAGAATAAAAAAGTTCTCATATATTGAATTATTTATTGAACAATAGTCATATAGTTAAAGTTTATACATATACAGTTTACAGTGTTCAATTCGAATTGTTTACTAAGTACTAACTAACATGGAATGTAAGTTCCAAGCATTCTGTCAATCATATTTAACCCTCTTAAACACTGAACAAGGTCCATTCTTGTAAACTAAGTAAGATATGTAACAAAAATAATTGATACGATTCGACCAGCACCAAAAAAATCTGAACAACACGATATTTTTAATTACTGTTGTTATTATAATTGAAATAAAAAATATCCAAGCACGCACGACCTGACTACTACCTCAGTGGTAAATAATTCCTCGATTGCTGCAACACAAAGCGATGCCGACTCTCATCCATTTGGGAGAGGGAGTAGTGTATCAGTAGTGTGTTACCTTGTAAATGGTATCTTAACAAATGATAACTTGTCCAGAACTAAATTTTCTGCAACGACATTATAACATTAAAAAAGACTAATTACATTCCTACTTTGCCGTAGAATTGTTTGTTCGTTCATCATATAAACTTGCAGTTAGTCAGCGTAATACTTGATTTATATGATAAATATTTTTATAATGTCACATGATTTTAATAAATTATGCTTACATGAGAATAATAAAAGCAACTTCTTGAATATGTGAGATTTATATGTTAAAATGTGATCAATTTATTAGTGTGGTCAGTATTTTATTATTATTATTATTATTATTATTATTATTATTATTATTATGCCTTAGTTAGAAGTCGTTTTTTGTTTATTTAGGAATGCGTGTTTAGATAAACTTTCTTTTGTTAAAAAGATTCTAAAGAATCAATTTGAATTTAAGTCTCAAATGGTTTTTATTCCCTTAGTTACATTTCAGTATAACATTATATGTGTTTACAGTTTGAGATGAATTGTAATAGAGCGTACAACTCTGTATAACGTATCTGTGTATGTACCTATGTATGTATATAAAAAAATCTCATTTTATGCTAGTTTGTTTATATTCTTGTAAATTATTATTGTCAGTGTGACTCAACACACACACACACACACATCTTGTTCTTTACAGGACTCGTCAACTGAATGGTATCTATTACCTTAGTATGTTATTGTCCATACTAGGCACTATCACTTCAAACACTAATGAGTTAGTTATCTATTAAGCTACTTAAGATCCAGGTACTTGTTCACCTATGCTAACCTAGATAATAAAA